TTATTAATAAAGCTACCATAATTTTTAGCCTTTTTTTCATGTAGATGATGCTATTATAGTTGTATCGTCAACAAGTATGTTATGAATAGTGTCCGGTAGGTCTCCATGAATATCTAAATGAGATCTAATACAGCTATGGTCAGAAAGGTGTAGAATGATATTCGTATTAAACATGCAGTGTGGCCTATATAATTATTTACGAATTTTGATTGATCAGGAATAATATTCCTTAATGGGAATTAATATATAACATTAATATTAATGGGCATTATATATTATATATAATATTAATATAATATTAATGGGCATATATATATATATATATATTGTGTGTGTGTGTGTGTGTGTGTGTGTGTGTGTGTGTGTGTGTGTGTGTGTGTGTGTATTACAGGTCTATAATTAAAACGGGATATTGGGGAGTGTGTATAATTAATACCGGGATTTTATAAATATATTTATTACTGAATTTTTTGTATACCTAGTATTAAAATAGTTCTAGACAGAAACATATCATTAATAGTCGAGTTTTAATTTTCACGGTATCAAATTTTGAATTTTATATTTTATAATTAATAACGGATTTTATGAATGCCATTTATGGTCGAAACGTCCAACGCTGACGATAGACGCGTAAAAAAAGGCAGGATGTGTGTGTAACGAATGCACGGCCGCAATTTTCGACGGATTTGCACCAAAATTTACATGCACATGCTCCAAGTTAGCGGGAAGTGGAAATAATCGATTTTTTCATGCTTCTACGTCAGTTTTCATGCAGTTTGCGGCCATTTTGTACTGGCCAGAGTGAGAGCCAATAGCTGGCTGCCACGAATAGGCAGGAAGATTCTATTGGCCAACGGGAGAGCCAACAGCTAACTGACACAAATGTTAACTAGCATACTAGCATGCAAAAACTTGAATTGACGATTATATTGCTCGGGGAAGCATAATGTCAGGAATCTATTTCGCAATGGGATTTTTTTTCCGGAAGAAGCTATCTGAAGAGGATTCACTCTCCACAAAGGTATATACTAAGGGAATGAGGATGAATCGATCCAGTAGTGAAATTGACTCCCGGACGAGGTTCCATGAAAGGAGTGTCATTGATGCTGATAGAGAATAACACTCTCTACTCTATACACTATACACTGGGTACGTGTTCGTTATCAACCCGACTTCTTTTGTTTTCGTTTTTTTTTACCTAGACTCACAAAAAAATCTATTGTTACTGGTACAAAATAATAAATGTTTTTCTTCACCAAGAACACACACAAATGCACACACATGAATCTTGCAAAAGCGTTTGCGTTGACGCAGTAAATAATTTTAATCGTGAGAAAAATTTCTTGCTATGTAATGTATTCCTGTGAAAGTTCTACACAATTAAAGAGCATAATAATTGAGGTAAGATCCGGTATACAAACAAACAAACATGAAAGAAGAAAACAAATCCGGAAGTTTCGGCGCCAAATTGACGAAAATGTCGTCTGCCATTTACTAAATCGTTTCGCGGCTGAATTTGCCTTTCAAACGTACCTGCAATAAGATCAAGCGCAGCATTGTAAATGACGGAAGACATCGCGTGTGGATTTACACATCAATTATTTTCTTTTAACGCTCAAATTTCCGGCTCTAACCAATCCTTATTCTTTACCCCCACCGATCACCGCATGTCGGCCGGCTTTCCTGCCGTCAAGATGCCGGCCTGTGTTGGCAAAAATACGCACGTCTGTTTTTCGCCGCCTCTTCCAAATTCCATGTATTTTTTTGACATCAATGTTGCATAGAGTTAGAGCCGCTTTATTTTATTCTTTTTCCGAATTCTTTAGTTATTTTGACGTATATTCTCTTTTTTCTTTCTTTCTACCAATAAATCGTCTGCTTTCGCCCATATCGTTCTATTATGGCGCCTTTCATGCTTTTTTCCGATTTTGTTATCTTTATTCTCTATTTTATTTCTTTTATATCTTAATATTTTTTTTTTAAATTTAAGTTTCATTTTTATTTTCCTTGTTGGCATTCCAGCTTTCTTCATTCTTTTTTATTAGACTATTGTTTCTCTCCAATTATTAATTTTCCTTTCTTTGTTTACATTCTGCTCATCTTTCCAACCATTTTCGAATATTGATTTTCAAAATGTTGTTCTTAAATGAATTTTGTTCTCGCTCTTTTTCTTTCATGAATGTTATCTTACTTTCTTTGATGATTCGCATGTCTGTATTTTGATTTGCACTGTTTTACTATTTGTACGCCATTTTGAAAGTGTTCATTTGTTTATTGCAATTTGCAATTTATTTTTTTTCTGTCTTTTTTTTTTCCTGAGAGTTTTATTTTTTTTTTTCAGTACTTATTATTTTTTTCAATTCTTATTAAATTTTCTTCTTTTCTGTTTTTCTTTTTCTTTTCTACTTCGATGTAAATATTTTGTTTTTGGTTTTACGTGTGTCTCCAAATCATTTTTGTCTTTTTCTTTCTTTCGGTCATTCCTACGCTTTTCGTTTGCATGTTTCTTTCGTTTTTGGTAAAACTTACGTCTTTCCCATCAAATCATTTATCAACTCTTTCTTAGTTTCTTCTTTTTTGACGTCTTGCTTTCTTTCATTTTTTCTTTCTTTCTTTCTTTCTTTCTTTCTTTCTTTCTTTGCAATTTAATTATACCTCGGCTTTATTATTTCAATGTTAACTTCTCAGTATATTTTCTTTTTTGCTTTCGTTTTCATACATTCCTCTCTCTATTCTTTCTTTCTTTCTTTCTTTCTTTCTTTCTTTCTTTCTTTCTTTCTTTGCAATTTATGTATCGGATTGCTTATTTGTTTAGTTTCCTTTCCGTATTGTTTTTGTCTCTATTTCTCTCTCTCTCTCTCTCTCTCTCTCTCTCTCTCTCTCACTCACACACACACACACACGTGCGCGCGCACTCACACACACAGGCGCGCGCACTCACACGCACACGCGCGAACATACACGCGGGAACACACATGCGCGTGCACTCACACACACTCGCGCGAACACACGCGAGCGCGCACAAGCACACAGACATACGCGCATGCATATGCACACACACACACACACACACACACACACACACACACACACACACACATATATATATATATATATATATATATATGAATAGACAAGAGGAAATCTATGCTTAATTTCGGCCGTGGTGTTTCGTCAACCCACTCACTTTATCAAGGTAAATGTGATGATTTTATTTTGAAATCTATTTGACAGTTACTAAAAAAATTTTAAATTTAAGAACGCTCATAAATATTCGTCAGGTTAACTAACACATAAACTTTTCAGTTAACCCGATGAATATTTATGAGCGTTTGTAAATTTAAAGATTTTTAGTAACTGTCAAAATATACTTCTTTCAAAAAAAAAAAATCATCACATTTGCCTTCATAAAGTAAGTGGAATGACGAAGCACTTTTGTCAAAACTAAGTATAGTTTTCCTGTTGTCTTTTCATTCATTTCTCTCTCTTATATATATATATATATATATATATATATATATATATATATACAGTGTAACTCGGATATAAGAGACCCGGATATAAGAGAAACCCGGATATAAGAGAGAGTTTCTCTGGTCCCAAATTAGATCCTGTGTTAATGTAAACAAAATAGACCAAACCCGTATATAAGAGAAACCCGGATATAAGAGACTTCTTCTCCGGTCCCGACAACTCTCTTATATCCGGGTTACACTGTATATATATATATATATATATATATATATATATATATATATATATATATACAGTGTAACCCGGATATACATATATATATATATATATATATATATATATATATATATATATATATATATATATATGTATGTATTTCAGTGGCTACTCTAGGTTATCAATGTTTGTAGGAATCATTGCAGTCTTTAAAAAATAAACTATTTGTATAATTTAAATGCAAAAAAAATAATTACTCTAATATATTTTTTACAAAATATCTGAGCATGAAATGAAAAAGACAGTGTCTGGTATTTTAATATAAATTGTAATAATCCTATAAAAAATATTTATTTAAAAAAAAGAAAAAAAAAAAAAAAACAAACTTCCGACGTCATAAAAGCAGTGCGGACAAAGTCTTTGATAAGTTCGTCTGTTCATTTCTCCCTTTCCCCATTTGTTTCTTTTACAACCTGGTTATCAAGTCACTGATGTTAGAAATACGAATAGATGTTTTAGGTCACAAAGTAGAAATGTATATTTCACTCACTGAGGCTAAGTGTCCGGATTGCGGTCTCTTCTTTTTTAAAGTCAGAATAATTCTGTGTGGGTCAGTGAGCGTGTGTATGTGTATCTGTGGACACGTATATAAACGTAATTAGTATGTTTATGAATCTCTCTCTCTGAATTTTTACTTTCATTTATTGTCCGTTTAAATCAGTACTGCTGACTGACATTACATTTCCTCAACACTACCCTAATCAAACTACTCACCCCAAACCTCCAGTCTAGTTAAGGCTGCCACTTTCTTTGATTTTCGTCGATTTTAAGTCGAGCTAAATTCAATATTCCCTTCTTCAATTGATACATTCCCCTAAAACATCGAACCAGTATCCTACACAGAACCGTGATTTAGCTTACATCTACATTGTCCGATTTTTCATGTTATATTATGTCATTTCTTTACGTTAAGATAAGCTTCGAGCAGATATGAGCGTTTGAGAGAAATAATGGGTAGCTCGTAGGTTAGCAACAGTAATTTGACTTTGCTAAATAAACGCTTCCTCTGTAGCTGAATGTTATAGCACGTCAGCATGATATGTTCGGTGTAGAATACAGCTTCGATTCCTGTTGAAGGGCACATATTTTCTTTGAGATTTCTCGGACATTCAGGACATAAATTTGGGTTTATTATAAACAGAGCATTTACTTAAATGTTCGTATCAATAAAAATAACGTATAAACAACAACAACAACAGACACACACGCACACACACACACATATATATATATATATATATATATATATATATATATATATATATATATATATATATATATATATATGTATGTATGTATGTATATAATTCAAATAGTAAGAATATAAGCTAAATCTTAAGATATAAAATAAGTTGAGGTCTCAATGGCAATTCCGACAGAATTTAAATATATTAAAATCATACGATTGATATTATAATATCCAAATCCCCTACTCATACTTTCAAGACATGACAATCATCAGCCTGCTGATATATGAAACCAATAGCTATAATCTGACTTATATAATCCATGGGTGACAGGTATCAACTTCACCGGATGTATGTTTTTAATCAAATACTTCTTCCTATGCCTACGTATGGTCCTCAGGCCGCTTCTCTTATCCAACAGCTGGTCCTCCATTCGCTGTAGGATTAGTCATTTTTCCCTTACGCACAAACTGAGCCTATTCCATCTCCGGTATATTGTTTGGCTTTAGCCAGCATTTTCCATAGTATTTTCCACACGCCCCGCACACACACAAACATGCAAAGAGACACACACAAACATGCAAAGAGACACACACATATACTTCTATAAATGATAAATTTGATAAATACACATGATTGTGTCAATATAATCGTTTTTTTAAACAGTGAAAACAATATCTACATCTTAGAGAGCGATGGATTAATTGATGAAAATATGACTCCGAGGAGTCTTAATTTTTTAAGTCAAGTAACATATGTGATGGGATGTGCGTTGAGTTGATATCGGCTAAGTATGAAAAATTGCAGATCCGATTTCGAAATCCATTCGGGTTTGTTATATTCTTTTGAGTGCAAATATCGTTGTGAAAGTTATAAAGCCTTCTCTTAAAGACCTATGGGTTTAATAGCAAGACAGTCTGCCTTAGTTAGCAACGCTTCTAATATAGAAAGAGACGGCAATCTACGACGGGAAAATGTTCTGTCTGGTAAGTCATGCATGGAAAGAGACATGATCACCCAAGCGTGTATCACACTTGGCATTTAACTGTCTGATCTAAATGTAAATTGTCTAATGGATGTGTTCTCCCGGCTTTCAAATGTCATTGTTTTTAGGTACCTATTCTATTTTAATGGACTCTCCCATAGATAATAAGTAGGAGTAGCAGTGGCAAGTCTGGCAGAATGGCATCTCGCGGTCTTTGACTGCGGACGCCTCCTGTCGAACTCTCTGCGTTAGCAGAGAGGAACCCTGACGAGGCTTTGCCGAAGGGCAAAGTTTCGTCCGGGGAGGTAGATAGGGCCTGAACCCGTTTAATCGGCTTCAAAAGGCTATTTTTTGGCCGAGCCTACGGGCTCGGGGAAACCCACATAAAAACCGGCCTTGTGCCATATTCTTTTCCGTGGGTGAAAGATAAATACCGAATGGCGTCTCGCGGTCTCTGACTGCGTACGCCTCCTGTCGAACTCTCTGCGTTAGCAGAGAGGAACCCAGACGAGGCTTTGCCGAAGGGCAGGGTTTCGTCCGGAGAGGTAGATAGGGCCTGAACCCGTCTAATCGGCTTCAAAGGCTATTTTTTTGGCCGAGCCTACGGGCTCGGAGAAACCCACAATAAAACCGGCCTTGTGCCATATTCGTTTCCGTGGGTGAAATGATAAATACCGAATGGTGTTGAGCGGTCTCTGACTGGGCACGCCTCCGTCGAACTCTCTGCGTTAGCAAAAGAGGAACCTGACGAGGCTTTGCCGAAGGGCAAGGTTTCGTCCGGGGAGGTAGACAGGGCCTGAACCCGTCTAATCGGCTTCAAAGGCTATTTTTTTGGCCGAGCCTACGGGCTCGGAGAAACCCACAATAAAACCGGCCTTGTGCCATAATTAACAATTATGTTATGTTCTATTTGTGCTCTATCTGTTTATTTATTTTCGTCAGTATTGGCGGTTTCAGTCCTAACGCCATGAGGTATTATGATAACACAGTGTTGATAGCATTCGCAGAAAGAAAACTACAAAAATGTCTACATAATATAGTGACCATAAGCGAGAAGAAAAGATTAAAGATCAATGCAATAAGTCAAGAGGCATGGTTGTTTGCAAAAAGTTGAACCCAAATTTCGAATTGCAAATCGGAAATACCAAAAATCAAAAATGGCGGAAGTTTAAATATCTAGGATTTGTTTTAGCAGAGGACACATATTGTGACATTGAAATCCGAAGGCGAATTGGGATAACAAAAGATGCCTTCCAAAATCTAAGCAGACTACTAAGAAATAGAAAAAACTTCCCTCGAAACAAGCATAAGCGTATTAAACTGTTACGTTGTATCTTTCCTCCTGTATATCAGTAAATACTGCACAATCTCCCTAAAGAGGAGCGAAAGAATTGAAGAAACAGAAAGATGGTTGGGAAAAATGATGCTGAGGGTACCATGGTCCGAACATGTGAGCAACGACAAGGGGTTAAGGAAATGGAAACATACTTAACATTATGAAAAGATATTTGAATTTCCTGGTGCATATAATGAGGAAAGAGGGCTTGGAAAATCTGACACGAACAGGATAGGGGAGAC